TCATAGCCTGGCATTTAGAGGTTGAAATAGTAGGTGAAGTAGAGAGATAGAGTTAAAAACAGCAGGTCTGGGACAAGGTAGCACATCCGGTGAACAGGTCAGGGTTCCATAGCCGCAGGCAGAAGAGTGGAAACTGGAGCAGCAGCACGACCAGGTGGACTGGGGACAGCCAGGAGTCATCAGGCCAGGTAGTCCTGAGGCATGGTCCTAGGGCTCAGGTCATCCTGGAGGGGAGGGAGAGATGGGAGAATTAGAGGGAGCATACTTAAATTCACACAGGACACCAGATAAGACAGGAGAATAACACCAGATATAACAGACTGACCCTAGCCCCCCGGCACATAGACTATTGCAGCATAACCACACATGACTCTTCCTAGAGCTGGCCGCACGGCCAAACTGAGCAATCGGGGGAGAAGGGCCTTGGTCAGGGAGGTGACTAAGAACCCGATGGTCACTCTGATAGAGCTCCAGAGTTCCTCTGTGGAAATGGGAGAACCTTCCAGAAGGACAACCATCTCTGCAGCACTCCACCAATCAGGCCTTTATGGTAGAGTGGCCAGACGGAAGCCACTCCTCAGTAAAAGGCACATGACAGCCCGCTTGGAGTTTGCCAAAAGGCACCTAAAGGACTCTCAGACCATGAGAAACAAGATTATCTGGTCTGATGAAAACAAGATTGAACTCTTTGGCCTGAACGACAAGCGTCACGTCTGGAGGAAACCTGGCACCATCCCTACGGTGAAGCATGGTGGTTGCAGCATCATGCTGTGGGGATGAACGGAGCAAAGTACAGAGAGATCCTTGATGAAAACCTGCTCCAGAGCGCTCAGGACCTCAGACAGGGGTGAAGGTTCACCTTCCAACAGGACAACGACCCTAAGCACACAGCCAAGACAACGCAGGAGTGGCTTCGGGACAAGTCTCTGAATGTTCTTGAGTGGCCCAGCCAGAGCCCGGACTTGAACCCGATCAAACATCTCTAGAGACCTGAAAATAGCTGTGCAGCGACGCTCCCCATCCAACCTGACAGAGCTTGAGAGGATCTGCAGAGAAGAATGGGAGAAAATCCCCAAATACAGGTGTGCCAAGCTTGTAGCATAATACCCAAGAAGACTCCAGGCTGTAATCGCTGCCAAAGGTGCTTCAACAAGTAAAGGGTCTGAATAATTATGTAAATGTTATATTTCTGTTTATTTTTATTGCAGAAATTTTTTTTTAACCAGTTTTTGTTTTGTCATTATGGGGTATTGTGTGTAGATTGATGAGGGGAAAAACTATTTAATCCATTTAAGAATAAGGCTGTAATGTAACAAAATTAGGTAAAAGTCAAGAGGTCTGAACACAGAAAAATTATTCGATTTCCCCCAACTGTAACACAGCAGTATGTTAGCCAGTAATACACAATATGGGTTTCATTAGATAAACTAAAGTTAACTAGGTGGCTTGAAGGAAAATCAACTTACTTAACTTGGCACCGTATTTGTCATCTGCCCTCTTGGTTCTGGAATCGGCTGTAGCTGAGCTTCTAACGTTAGCTAAATCCAACCCTTTGTTAAAAAAATAATCTTCGCTATATTCCGGTTGAACCATGTATGGTTTAATGTCACCATGTAGCAAAAAAAAAAAAGCTCCATCGTCGAATTCGTGTTGATGAGAGGAATCACTTGAAGCTATTGCGTCTGGTGAGTTATTTCAGTTTTGCCCAAAGGATTGTTGTTAGTGGTCGCCTTCTTTCAAAAAAAGCCCGACTTGGTGGAGGGACCGGGGCCAGAGCATGAAGCACCGCCCAACACAAGTTGTAGTCTTTCAGAGACTGGAAAACATGTGTCTGCTTGTCTATTTAGCAATGAATCCGCCGATAGGAACATCGAACATGGACAACCATATCTACACGCACAAAAACGTATAGTGTGATCAGTATAACATGCCACAAAGCAATACACCGGAAGCCAACATAGGGTGTATCATTCAGCGCGCGAAGCCCTGACCTGCCTTTCTCCTGGGCAATAATGTGTTAAACACATCTCACTGTCCTAGAAATGCCTCAGACATTATGAAAACCAGCCCAGATCACAGTAAAACAAAAAAACAAGAGAGAGAGGAAGAGAGAAAGTTCAGACAACAACAGCCAGCCATTAACAGAGACCAGAGGAAGGTTTCTAAATCCATCTTCATAGCAGCTATCCATCCATTTTAGCATGGAGTACTCACCATTCGTACTGTGTCTGTCTGTTATCTCCCAATCAAAAAAAAGACAACAGTTCACTTTCTGTGTAATGAAAATAAAATAACAGAAAACATAATCAGTAAGTGTGCTCACCTCCAACACTTGGAAAATATCTATTTCCCAATCCATTTGACTGTAATCCTGGCTCAATTGACATGCCAGTAAGTGAAATTGAACAGCTGATCGAGCTGTCATGTGACCGAATGCTGCAGACAACGCATTCACAGGTCACAATGGAGGAGTTTTGTTTCCTGACTCAAAGGGAATACCCTGCGGTCTCCCTCTGAGCATTAACGCTGCGCTCAAAAGAACTGGGAACTCGGAAATCTCGGACTTCCAACTTCAGTGCGTTCAAGACAACTGGGAACTCGAAAAGAAACGAGCTCTGACTGGGAGAAATCGTTTTGAATGGTCATCCAACTCGGAATTCCAACTCAGGAACTCGTGACTGTCTAGAGCTCCGACTTTTCGACCTAAAGATCACTAATATTTTTCAGAGTTCCCAGTTGTCTTGAAAGCACCATGTAAGTCATGGTAGGCTACCCTTTGCCAGCTCATATATGTGTGAAGCTGGATTCAGTGCTCTCCTCTGCATTAAAACCAAATATCGATCCAGGTTGGATTTGACAGCAGAGAGAAGGTGTGCACTGTCGACCACGCCCCCCGACTTTGAGAAGCTCCAATGCCACATGCATCAAGCCACACCCATCTCATTAGTGGTGGTGAGATAAGAGACATGATGTCAGACTAATTGACTGTCATAGCCCCACATTAAAAGTATGTGATGGTGAGTTGAGAAGACAATCAGAAATACTGTTAGAATGTTTTTCAATTGACTGCCATAGCCCCAAATAAAAAAGTGAACATTGGCTTTTAATTACCAAAATGTTCACATGGTTGGGGTCCCAAGAATTTTCAGTTATCAAAATGGGGTGGTGGACCAAAAAAGTTTGGGAACGCCTGCAATCCTGTCTGCCTGTGTGTGCTCTCCTTTTAAGCCATTGGGGAGGTGAAAAAAATATTTGTTTTCATATCTCATAAGGGGCGGTCTGTCACCTCCTCCACTCTCAGGTGAGGCAGGTAAATTCCATCTAAGTAGAAAAAACACTTTCAGCCTTCTACAGAATGTTCATCACGTGGAGAATTTAAGCCATGGTTATTTTTTACCAGTAAACGCTTCGATGGAATCGTCTTTGGCAGGACCTTGCAGAGACATTTAGGGGACAGGTGTTCAAGTCTAAAAAGGCACATATGTCCAGTTTTTGGTAACCAATATCTAAAACAGATCAATCTTATTTGTAGGGGCATTTTCACTGAAGGGGGTAGCACTTATAGACCCCTATCTGTGCACGTGCCTTGTCATTGTAGTGATTTTAACTAGAGTCGATGTCCGTGCCCCCTTGCCAATCTAATTAGCATAATTTAAAAATTCCCAATAAAAAGCTGTCTGTTAAACTAGAGATAAATTCTAGTTTTGGAAACAGTGAGTGGAAACGCCAATCGGATGCTTCACATTTATACATCCAGTGAAATATCTGGCTCATTGTTCTATCTGTGCTCCAACCCAGTGTCGTCACCTTCTCAAGAATCACCTGTTTCTCCTGTGTCTCCGGTCCTGGGCACAGCTTTTTGTAATCCTTCAGAATAACAGTCCCGTCCTGTAAATGAATAATTAGGGCGAAAAATGATAGAAAATGTGCACAATTATCGCAGCAGGCTCCTGGCTGCTTTTTACCGAACAAACCACGTCCTTTATAAACCCTAAACTCAGAATTGTCTATACCGTAATTACAGTAAGAGCTTTAGCACCGTGGAAACAAGAATTCAAACCATCATGTCGTAACAATGACAGGGAAGCGAATGTTATGTAATGATATGATATAGTTGCGTATTACACCATACTTACGGCTCTACTGACGTTTGCTTATTTTGCTGATACAATAATAGTTTCTCTGAAACCAGAGTGGAAGAGAGACAGAGAGACAGAGAGGAGAGAGAGAGAGAGAGAGAGAGACAGAGAGTGACAGAGAGAGACAGAGAGAGAGACAGAGAGAGAGACATACACACACTCACAGAATTGATTGCACCCAAGGAGTGATTTCACAACTAGAAGACAGTTATTTTAAAGCAGATTAATTTATTTTACAATTGATAGCAATAAATATCACTTAAATACAAAGATATGCACTTCAAACAGAAAAGGAAAATAATATTACAGGGCTCATTGGAAAAAGAGAACTGAGTCTCAAAATGAAATAAAGGTTAAATATTTATTGGTATTAAATAAACAGTAAACTAAGGATAATAAAATCCTACTTCTCTTTATTGAAATAAATCAATTATAAACATTGTCCACAGTATATTGTATAAAGTACACAGTACCCATTCAATATCGGACATTGTACACATTATATGAAAGTGCAAATTGTTTGAAATATCTGTGTTTGAATGATCTTTTGGAAAGCATATTGGTTATATTAGAAAAACAATGAACTATAAGCTTTGGTACCTATACAGAACTAATAATTGTTTTACTGTATCCATTAGAAAGACGTTAGTAACCCAACCGCTGCTTCGTATCCTAGACTATTGTGACAGCACCTATCAAAACACAACCGAGACCTTACTTTGCAAATTAGATGCCATTATGAAAAACATAATTCCACAATGTATGAATCACTAAATTGGCTGTCACTCCCAAACAGAAGACAACTGCATTGGAACCAATTTCTTTTTTAAAAAATGTATCAACTTCACTTCTTCACTTCTTTTAGTCCTCTCTGTTTACAGTCCATTGTGCCTCGTTCTCTTCAAGAAACTCTGTAGCTTGAGCCACACACCAGAACACCCCAATGAAGGGCTAGACGAGAGGAACGGAGCAGAAAGAGGGAGAGAATTACAATCTACTAAAATGTCTAACAGACTCTTGAATTACCCCATTGTCCTGAGCATCAACCCAATAACAACACTGATACTATCGTCATGAGTGAAAGCTAAAGTAATACTATCACAGTAAGACAAAAAAACAAGATTCAGAGAGAGAGAGAGAAAGATAGAGAGAGACAGAGAGAGAGAGAGAGAGAGAGAGAGAGACACACACACACACACAGAGACAGAGACAGAGAGAGAGAGAGAGAAAGATAGAGAGAGAGACAGCGAGAGAGAGAGAGAGAGAGAGAGAGAGAGAGACACACACACAGAGAGAGACAGAGACAGAGAGAGAAAGATAGAGAGACAGCGAGAAAGAGGAAGAGAGAGAGAGAGAGACACACACACACAGAGACAGAGAGAGACAGAGAGAGAAAGATATAGAGAGACAGCGAGAGAGAGAAGATTGAGTTAGACAGAGAAAGCAGCTAAAGAGCAGCTATTGCACTTGCTTTGGCAATGTAAACATATGTTTCCCATGCCAATAAAGCCCATTGAATTGAGAGAGAGAGAGCAGAGAGAGAGAGAGAGAGAGAGAGAGAGAGAAGAGGAAGATCAGACAACAACAGCCAGCCATTAACAGAGACCAGAGGAAGGTTTCTAGAGGTTTCTAAATCCATCTACATAGCAGCTATCCATCCATCCATCCATCTTAGCCTGGAGTACTCACCATTCGTACTGTGTAGAGGTCTGTGTCTGTCTGTTATCTCCCTTCCATGCCTCTCCTCCTCCTCCTCCTCCTCCTGTCTATTTGCTATCTGGTCCCAGATCTCAGTGTTAACCCACAGAGACCCAGCAAGGGGGAGGTTGGCCCGGCAACAGGTGATAAAGCGGCACAGGGGGCAGCACACGCTCCTCAGGTCCCTCTGCAGCCTGGACATCGCCTCCAAGCACGGCCCACAGAAGGTGTGCTTGCAGTGGAGCATCCGAGGGATTTTCTCCCCGCGAGAGTAGGGCTGGAGGCAGACGCAGCAATCCATGTCTTCGCTCATCAGACCCATGGCTGGTTGGCTGGGATGGATGGATAGACGGATGGACAGCTGGAGCACAGAGGACCTCTGGATGGAGAGGCAGTGTCTGGGCAGGAAGACGTGCGGTTTAAATACTGGTCTGAGGTCAGTTTTCCCCTTTGTGGTTTATTAAGGTCCTGGTTTGGATTTGATGCGGGTGAGCTGATCCTAGATATGTGCTTTGGCCCACGGGTCAGGAAGCTGCAATAGACATCATTTACGTTTACATTTTAGTCATTTAGCAGACGCTCTTATCCAGAGCCACTTACAGTTAGTGCATACATTTTCATACTGGCCCCCCGTGGGAAACGAACCCACAACCCTGGCGGCGTTGCAAGCACCATGCTCTACCAACTGAGCTACTGGGGACTACTACTACTACTACGGTTAGGTTGTCACTAGGATGAAACTCAGATCCTCTACTACTACTACTACTACTACTACTACTACTACTGCTACTACTACTACTACTACTACTACTACTACTACTACTACTACTACTACTACTACTACTACTACTACTACTACTACTACTACACTACTACTACTACTACTACTACTCCTAATACTACTACTACTACTATACTACTACTATCTACTACTACCACTACTACTACTACTACTACTAATACTACTCTACTACTACTACTCTACTATACTACTACTACTACTACTACTCCTACTACTAACTACTACTACTACTACTAACTAACTACTACACTACTACTACTACTACTACTACTACTACTACTACTACTACTACTACTACTACTACTACTACTGCTACTACTACTACTACTACTACTACTACGACTGCTACTACTACTACTAACTACTACTACTACCTACTACTACTACTACTACTACTACTACTACTACTACTACTACTACTACTACTACTACTACTACTACTACATACTACTACTACTACTACTACTACTACTACTAACTACTACTACTCACTACTACTACTACTACTACTACTAACTCGACTACTACTACTACTACTGCTACTACTACTACTACTACTACTACTACTACTACTGCTACTACTACTACTACTACTACTACTATTGTACTACTGACTAACTACACCTACTACTACTACTCTACTACTACTACTTTCTACTACTACTACTGCTACTACTACTATACTGACTACTACTACTACTACTACTACTACACTACTGCTACTACTCTACTACTACTACTACTACTAACTACTCTACTAACTTAGGTTGTACTAATAAACTCACTATCTCTACTACTACTACTACTAACTACTATACTACTATACTATCTACTACTATACTACTACTACTACTACTACTACTTTGCTACTACTATACACTACTACTAACTACTACTACTACTACTACTACGGTAAATTGTCACTAGGATGAAACTCAGATCATTTACTACTACTTCTACTACTACTACTACTTCTGCTACTACTACTACTACTACTACTACTAACTTATCTTACTACTATAAACTACTACTACTTCTGCTACTAGCTACTACTAACTACATACTAACTATACTACTTACACTACTACGTACTACTCACTACTGCACTAATATCTATCTACCATGAATAACACTACTCTACTAGATACATATGAAATACTGATGGTTTAAAACCTACATCTATCGGTGAACTCTTTGTCACTAGGTAACTCAGATACATTCTAACGGTTTCTCTAAACTGATGCACTACTTGTCTAGTGTCGTACACCTAATACTACTATTCACACTATTTACTGCTCTAGTAACTTTATAACTCTACTACCACATGCATAGGTGCTATACTGATAACTGACAGCTACGTACCTGATTCCTGAAACCTACTTTTGGACTGAAAGGTCCATTCATCCTGGCACATATAACAAATCTAATTCCACATGAATATCCTCAAAGTCAACAGTGCTGGGGAGGTTTGTCTTCTGCCCAGAAGCTGCCAATGAAGGAACCATGTTCTTGCTGTTTCTAAAATTCACACAGCTCATTCCACAGTAGAAAATATACCAATCAAGCCTGGTTTGGGATGCTTTGCTGCCAGATGGACACTGCCTTATAAAGGAACCATGAATTCTGCTCTGTATCAGAGAATTCTACAGGAGTGGCCATCGTCTGTGAGCTGAAGCTGAAGCTGCAGCTGGGTCAGCAGGAGACAATGATCCAAAACACACATCAAGTCTACATGAAATTGCTAAAAGCAACACATTTGAAGTTTTGGAATGGCCTAGTCAAAGTCCAGACCTAATCCCAATTGAGATGTTGTGGCAGGACTTGAAACGAGCAGTTCATACTTGAAAACCCACCACGTCACTGAGTTTAAAGCTGTTCTGCAGGGAAGCGGTGGGCCAAAATTCCTGCCACCAGTGACGTGGAGAGACTGAATCACCAGACCTACAGGAAGCATTCGGTTTGGAGTCATTGCAGCTAAAGGTGGCACAACCAGTTATGTGTGTAAGGTGGCAATTACTTTTTCACACAGGGGAATTGGGTGTTGCATAACTTTGTTTATGAAATAAATATGGTAATTGTTGTGTTATTTGTTCACTTATGTTCCCTTTATCTAATATTAGGTTTTGGTTGAAGATCTGCTAACATTCAGTATCAAAAATATGCAAAAGTAGAGAAAATCAGAAAGGGGGCAAATACTTTTTCACAGCACTGTAGCTATACATTTCTCCTCCAGGAACAGTTAGGCAACATTTCAGTATAGGCTGCTGAACTACAAAGGCTGAATAATAATGCGATTACAAAAGAAGACATTGTTTATAGCAAAATACATGGTTCAATTTACTAAAACAGCTGAAACAACTATTAGGAAATGTGACAGATCTCTGTCTTTTTTAAATTATTTTTTATTATTATTAACAACAAATCAATACAAAAAGTATATGGGGAACACAAGTATATATAGACAATATACAACTGGGCTAGAGGCGGGGCTAGGGGGTACAATATCACATTACACAGAACCTTAAAGGGACATACACACATTTATAATTCTAACATTTAAATTCTGGTAGAGTATTTAATCGTCTTAAAATATAGTTTGATTTCTTTTTTGTAAAAGGTAAGAAAATGTGGCGTTTTCTTTATACATTTACATTTGTGAATATGACATTTGGCCAAAAGAATAATGAAATTAATTACTTACCGTAGGTAAAGAATCCAAGCAATATATCTCTCCATAATAGTGTAAAGTCTTCATAAATGTGTTCAATTTTAAATCTACTGATGTCTTGCCACAGATTCCTTACATGAATACAATGCCTAAAAAGATGCAACACCGTTTCTGGGTGGTCATTACAAAAGGTACAATTTGAATTTATGTTTTTCTTAAACTTCTTCATATAGTGGTTGGCAGGATAATATTTCTGAATAATTTAAAAATAAACGTCCTTAATTTTGTTAATAAGTACAGTTGAAGTCGGAAGTTTACATACACTTAGGTTGGAGTCATTAAAAATCGTTTTTCAACCACTCCACAAATTTCTTGTTAACAAACTATAGTTTTGCCAAAATGTTCACATGGTTGGGGTCCCAAGAATTTTCAGATATCAAAATGGGGTGGTGGGCCAAAAAAGTTTGGGAACGCCTGCAATACTGTCTGCCTGTGTGTGCTCTCCTTTTAAGCCATTGGGGAGGTGAAAAAAATATTTGTTTTCATATCTCATAAGGGGCGGTCTGTCACCTCCTCCACTCTCAGGTGAGGCAGGTAAATTCCATCTAAGTAGAAAAAACACTTTCAGCCTTCTACAGAATGTTCATCACGTGGAGAATTTAAGCCATGGTTATTTTTTACCAGTAAACGCTTCGATGGAATCGTCTTTGGCAGGACCTTGCAGAGACATTTAGGGGACAGGTGTTCAAGTCTAAAAAAGGCACATATGTCCAGTTTTTGGTAACCAATATCTAAAACAGATCAATCTTATTTGTAGGGGCATTTTCACTGAAGGGGGTAGCACTTATAGACCCCTATCTGTGCACGTGCCTTGTCATTGTAGTGATTTTAACTAGAGTCGATGTCCGTGCCCCCTTGCCAATCTAATTAGCATAATTTAAAAATCCCAATAAAAAGCTGTCTGTTAAACTAGAGATAAATTCTAGTTTTGGAAACAGTGAGTGGAAACGCCAATCGGATGCTTCACATTTATACATCCAGTGAAATATCTGGCTCATTGTTCTATCTGTGCTCCAACCCAGTGTCGTCACCTTCTCAAGAATCACCTGTTTCTCCTGTGTCTCCGGTCCTGGGCACAGTTTTTTGTAATCCTTCAGAATAACAGTCCCGTCCTGTAAATGAATAATTAGGGCGAAAAATGATAGAAAATGTGCACAATTATCGCAGCAGGCTCCTGGCTGCTTTTTACCGAACAAACCACGTCCTTTATAAACCCTAAACTCAGAATTGTCTATACCGTAATTACAGTAAGAGCTTTAGCACCGTGGAAACAAGAATTCAAACCATCATGTCGTAACAATGACAGGGAAGCGATATGTTATGTAATGATATGATATAGTTGCGTATTACACCATACTTACGGCTCTACTGACGTTTGCTTATTTTGCTGATACAATAATAGTTTCTCTGAAACCAGAGTGGAAGAGAGACAGAGAGACAGAGAGAGAGAGAGAGAGAGACAGAGAGAGTGACAGAGAGAGACAGAGAGAGACAGAGAGAGAGACATACACACACTCACAGAATTGATTGCACCAGAGAGTGATTTCACAACTAGAAGACAGTTATTTTAAAGCAGATTAATTTATTTTACAATGATAGCAATAAATATCACTTAAATACAAAAATATGCACTTCAAACAGAAAAGGAAAATAATATTACAGGGCTCATTGGAAAAAGAGAACTGAGTCTCAAAATGAAATAAAGGTTAAATATTTATTGGTATTAAATAAACAGTAAACTAAGGATAATAAAATCCTACTTCTCTTTATTGAAATAAATCAATTATAAACATTGTCCACAGTATATTGTATAAAGTACACAGTACCCATTCAATATCGGACATTGTACACATTATATGAAAGTGCAAATTGTTTGAAATATCTGTGTTTGAATGATCTTTTGGAAAGCATATTGGTTATATTAGAAAAACAATGAACTATAAGCTTTGGTACCTATACAGAACTAATAATTGTTTTACTGTATCCATTAGAAAGACGTTAGTAACCCAACCGCTGCTTCGTATCCTAGACTATTGTGACAGCACCTATCAAAACACAACCGAGACCTTACTTTGCAAATTAGATGCCATTATGAAAAACATAATTGCACAATGTATGAATCACTAAATTGGCTGTCACTCCCAAACAGAAGACAACTGCATTGGAACCAATTTCTTTTTTTTAAATGTATCAACTTCACTTCTTCACTTCTTTTAGTCCTCTCTGTTTACAGTCCATTGTGCCTCGTTCTCTTCAAGAAACTCTGTAGCTTGAGCCACACACCAGAACACCCCAATGAAGAGCTAGACGAGAGGAACGGAGCAGAAAGAGGGAGAGAATTACAATCTACTAAAATGTCTAACAGACTCTTGAATTACCCCATTGTCCTGAGCATCAACCCAATAACAACACTGATACTATCGTCATGAGTGAAAGCTAAAGTAATACTATCACAGTAAGACAAAAAAACAAGATTCAGAGAGAGAGAGAGAAAGATAGAGAGAGAGACAGAGAGAGAGAGAGAGAGAGAGAGAGAGACACACACACACACAGAGACAGACAGAGACAGAGAGAAAGATATAGAGAGAGAGACAGCGAGAGAGACAGAGAGAGAGAGAGAGACACACAAACACACAGAGACAGAGACAGAGAGAGAGAGAAAGATATAGAGAGACAGCGAGAGAGAGAAGATTGAGTTAGACAGAGAAAGCAGCTAAAGAGCAGCTATTGCACTTGCTTTGGCAATGTAAACATATGTTTCCCATGCCAATAAAGCCCATTGAATTGAGAGAGAGAGAGCAGAGAGAGAGAGAGAGAGAGAGAGAGAGAGAGAAGAGGAAGATCAGACAACAACAGCCAGCCATTAACAGAGACCAGAGGAAGGTTTCTAGAGGTTTCTAAATCCATCTACATAGCAGCTATCCATCCATCCATCCATCCATCTTAGCCTGGAGTACTCACCATTCGTACTGTGTAGAGGTCTGTGTCTGTCTGTTATCTCCCTTCCATGCCTCCTCCTCCTCCTCTTCCTCCTCCTGTCTATTTGCTATCTGGTCCCAGATCTCAGTGTTAACCCACAGAGACCCAGCAAGGGGGAGGTTGGCCCGGCAACAGGTGATAAAGCGGCACAGGGGGCAGCACACGCTCCTCAGGTCCCTCTGCAGCCTGGACATCGCCTCCAAGCACGGCCCACAGAAGGTGTGCTTGCAGTGGAGCATCCGAGGGATTTTCTCCCCTCGAGAGTAGGGCTGGAGGCAGACGCAGCAATCCATGTCTTCGCTCATCAGACCCATGGCTGGTTGGCTGGGATGGATGGATAGACGGATGGACAGCTGGAGCACAGAGGACCTCTGGATGGAGAGGCAGTGTCTGGGCAGGAAGACGTGCGGTTTAAATACTGGTCTGAGGTCAGTTTTCCCCTTTGTGGTTTATTAAGGTCCTGGTTTGGATTTGATGAGGGTGAGCTGATCCTAGATATGTGCTTTGGCGCACGGGTCAGGAAGCTGCAATAGACATCATTTACGTTTACATTTTAGTCATTTAGCAGACGCTCTTATCCAGAGCGACTTACAGTTAGTGCATACATTTTCATACTGGCCCCCCGTGGGAAACGAACCCACAACCCTGGCGGCGTTGCAAGCACCATGCTCTACCAACTGAGCTACTGGGGACACTACTACTGCTACTACTACTACTACTACTACTTACTACTGCTATACTTGCACTACTATACATACTACTGCTACTGCATGCTACTGACATTATGCTACTTGCTACTCTACTGAATATACTACTACTAATACTATAATAATACTACTACTGCTACTGCTACTACTGCTAAGCTACTGCTACTGGCTACTGCTAAACTACATACTATACTACTACTACTACTACTAATACTGCTACTTGCTACTGCTTTACTGCTTACTATACGCTATACTACTACTACTAATACTACTACTATATACTGCCACCGATCGGATATGCTACTGCTAATGTACTATAACTACTACTACTGGCTACTGCTACTGCTGTATGTACTGCACTGCTACGCTCTGCTACTCCTATGCTTACTGCTTACTGCTACTGCTACATACTACTATACACTGCTATGATATGCTACTACTACTCAATGCTACTACTACTGCTATGCTACTGCTATACTACTACTACTGCTACTGCTTACTACTACTACTACTACTACTACTACTACTACTACTACTATACTACTCTTAGGATGTTTAAATGACTTCATCACTGACACTATATAAACATATCTAATCTAATGATATCGCTCAAATCAACAGGCTGGCAGGTTTTTCTCAGAAGCCATGAATACATTGTTTTGTGTGTTTTAAAAATCACACAGCTCTAACATCCATAGTTATCACATTTAGACAATCATTTTCCCTTTCATCATTATCAATAAGAGGAAAGATTTCACTTACTTGGGAGGTTTTCAGCCCAGTAACCAACTCTTCGATGCCTAAACTTTGTCTGTGGCTGTGTGTGAGAGAGAATAATAGTCCTGCAATACTTTCTGCCTGTGTGAGCTCTCTTTTTAAGCCAATGGAGAGGGGGGAAAAAACATTTCTTTCCTTGTCATAAGGGGGCGGTCTCTCACCTCCTCTGCTCTAAGGTGATGCAGGTAAGTTCCATGGAAGTAGAACAACACTTCTATAGAATTGACATTAAGTGGAGAATTCACGCCATGGTTTTTCCTGGAAATGCTTCGGTGGAATCCTCTTTGTCAGGACCTTGCAGAGACATTCAGGGGACCGGTGTTCAAGTCTAAAAACGGCACATATGTCCAGTGTTTGGTAACCAATATCTAAAATTCACATCTGTGAATTTCATCTGCTAGTAACAGTTTTATTTTCTCATCTACCAAGGTGCATGGTGTACCTCGAAAGACCCTGGCAGACAGGCTGAGCGGCCGGGTGACCCATGGTTGTCGCGGTGGACCAACCACATTGCTTGGACGAGATGGGTCCCATTATGTCTGGCGAAAACCAAACTCTGCATTCCACAGTAAGAACATCATACCAAAGGTCAAGCATGGTGGTGGTGGTGTGATGGTTTGGGGATGCTTTGCTGCCCCAGGACCTGGACGACTTGCCTTAATAGAAGGAACCATGAATTCTGCTCTGTATCAGAGAATTCTACAGGAGACTGTCCGACCATCTGTCTGTGAGCTGAAGCTGAAGCGCAGCTGGGTCATGCAGGAAGACAATGATCCAAAACACACAATCAAGTCTACATGAAAATTGCTAAAAAGCAACAAATTTGAAGTTTTGGAATGGCCTAGTCAAAGTCCAGACCTAATCCCAATTGAGATGTTGTGGCAGGACTTGAAACGAGCAGTTCATACTTGAAAACCCACACGTCACTGAGTTAAAGCTGTTCTGCATGGAAGAGTGGGCCAAAATTCCTCCACAGTGACGTGAGAGACTGATCAACAACTACAGGAAGCATTCGGTTGGAGTCATTGCAGCTAAAGGTGGCACAACCAGTTATGTGTGTAAGGTGGCAATTACTTTTTCACACAGGGGAATTGGGTGTTGCATAACTTTGTTTATGAAATAAATATGTAATTGTTGTGTTATTTGTTCACTTATGTTCCCTTTATCTAATATTAGGTTTTGGTTGAAGATCTGCTAACATTCAGTATCAAAAATATGCAAAAGTAGAGAAAATCAGAAAGGGGGCAAATACTTTTTCAAAGCACTGTAGCTATACATTTCTCCTCCAGGAACAGTTAGGCAACATTTCAGTATAGGCTGCTGAACTACAAAGGCTGAATAATAATGCGATTACAAAAGAAGACATTGTTTATAGCAAAATACATGGTTCAATTTACTAAAACAGCTGAAACAACTATTAGGAAATGTGACAGATCTCTGTCTTTTTTAAATTATTTTTTATTATTATTAACAACAAATCAATACAAAAAGTATATGGGGAACACAAGTATATATAGACAATATACAACTGGGCTAGAGGCGGGGCTAGGGGGTACAATATCACATTACACAGAACCTTAAAGGGACATACACACATTTATAATTCTAACATTTAAATTCTGGTAGAGTATTTAATCGTCTTAAAATATAGTTTGATTTCTTTTTTGTAAAAGGTAAGAAAATGTGGCGTTTTCTTTATACATTTACATTTGTGAATATGACATTTGGCCAAAAGAATAATGAAATTAATTACTTACCGTAGGTAAAGACTCCAAGCAATATATCTCTCCATAATAGTGTAAAGTCTTCATAAATGTGTTCAATTTTAAATCTACTGATGTCTTGCCACAGATTCCTTACATGAATACAATGCCTAAAAGATGCAACACCGTTTCTGGGTGGTCATTACAAAAGGTACAATTTGAATTTATGTTTTTCTTAAACTTCTTCATATAGTGGTTGGCATGATAATATTTCTGAATAATTTAAAAATAAACGTCCTTAATTTTGTTAATAAGTACAGTTGAAGTCGGAAGTTTACATACACTTAGGTTGGAGTCATTAAAAATCGTTTTTCAACCACTCCACAAATTTCTTGTTAACAAACTATAGTTTGGGCAAGTCGGTTAGGACATCTATTTTGTGCATGACACAAGTAATTTTTCCAACAATTGTTTTCTTTAGAGATTATTTCACTTATAATTCACTGTATCACAATTCCAGTGGGTCAGAAGTTTACATACACTAAGTTGACTGTGCCTTTAAACAGCTTGGACAATTCCAGAAAATGTCATGGCTTTAGAAGCTTCTGATAGGCTAATTGACATCATTTGAGTCAATTGGAGGTGTACCTGTGGATGTATTTCAAGGCCTACCTTCAAACTCAGTGCCTCTTTGCTTGACATCATGGGAAAATCAAAAGAAATCAGCCAAGACCTCAGAAAAAGAATTGTAGACCTCCACAAGTCTGGTTCATCCTTGGGAGCAATTTCCAAAGGCTGAAGGTTCATCTGTACAAAAAAATAGTACGCAAGTATAAACACCATGGGACCACGCAGCCGTCATACCGCTTAGGAAGGAGACGAGTTCTGTCTCCTAAAGTGCAAATCAATCCCAGAACAACAGCAAAGGACCTTGTGAAGATGCTGGAGGAAACAGGTACAAAAGTATCTATATCCACAGTAAAACGAGTCCTATATAGACATAACCTGAAAGGCCGCTCAGCAAGGAAGAAGCCACTGCTCCAAAACCGCCATAAAAACGCAAGACTACAGTTTGGCCATAATGACCATCGTTATGTTTGGAGGAAAAAAAGGGGGTAACTTGCAAGCTGAAGAACACCATCCCAACCGTGAAGCACGGGGGTGGCAGCATCATGCTGTGGGGGTGCTTTGCTGCAGGAGGGACTGGTGCACTTCACAAAATAGATGGCATCATGAGGAAGGAAAATTATGTGGATATATTGAAGCAACATCAAGACATCAGTCAGGAAGTTAAAACTTGGTTGCAAATGGGTCTTCCAAATGGACAATGACCCCAAGCATACTTCCAAAGTTGTGGCAAAATGGCTTAAGGACAACAAAGTCAAGGTATTGGAGTGGCCATCACAAAGCCCTGACCTCAATCTTATAGAACATTTGTGGGCAGAACTGAAAAAGCCTTTGCGAGCAAGGAGGCCTACAAACCTGACTCAGTTACACCAGCTCTGTCAGGAGGAATGGGCCAAAATTCACAACTTATTGTGGGAAGCTTGTGGAAGGCTACCCGAAACGTTTGACCCACGTTAAAGAATTTAAAGGCAATGCTACCAAATACCAATTGAGTGAATGTAAACTTCTGACCCACTGGGAATGTGAAGAAAGAAATAAAAGCTGAAATAAATCATTCTCTCTACTATTATTCTGACATTTCACATTCTTAAAATAAAGTGGTGATCCTAACTGACCTAAAACAGGGAATTTGTACTAGGTTTAATGTCAGGAATTGTGAAAAACTGAGTTTCTATGTATTTGGCTGAAGTGTATGTAAACTTCCGACTTCAACTGTATGTGTGTGGCAACAGCCAAACTTTTTTCCAACAGATATTAATTATTAATTAAAACCATTCCAGTAAAAAATGATACAACATTCTGCTGAAACAAGGCTCATATAAATCTTTCCTACTGATGAGTCAACAGGGTTAATCGTAGGTTTGTTGTCAGGGTCAGGTCTTGACACGTTCCTGAATAATAAGGTAACACCTGAGGGAATGGCATCTAAAACAATTGCAAAATCTTTAGGTGTTACAGGGATCTTGTAACGTCATAAGAATTCCTTATAATTAAGTAAAATAACCTCTGCATTTACAAGTTGGCTCACCAATAGGATAATATTTGGGAACCAATATTCTAAAAACAAATAAGTATTTTTATACAATATGTCCCGATTATTCCATATATAATATCTGTGTGGAGAAAAATGCTTGTAAATGAAGGACCGTGACAAGAAAACCTGCCGATGAAAAGCAGAGAGTTTCACTGGAACTTTGTCAATAATATAAATCGCAAACCAATATGAAGTTAAGGCCACAAAAAGTAGAGAGGACACGATGAGGAATAAAGTTCCACATAGAAGTGGGTCTTCTTAGGAATTGTTTTATCCAATTGATCGTAAAAGTATTATTTAAAAAGGTAGTAAAGCCCAGAAAATTCAGCCCACCATACTCAATAAGTGTTCATCGCAACAGTTTTCCTAATGTAAATGGGTACGGTTTCTCCACAGAAAGTTGAAAAGCATCTGGTCTCTACCTCTTTTACCATCAAGATTTAAAGATAGCGCGGCATATGTTAGCCTAGAGATACCCTCAGCCTTGGTTATTGGGACGCTTCCTTTTAAAAGAGAAGTCCCTCTCCCGAGTGGCGCAGTGGTCAAAGCTGTGCCACTAGAGATCCTGGTTCGAATCCAGGCTCTGCTGTAGCCGGCCGCGACCGGGAGACCCATGGGGCGGCGCACAATTTGGCCCAGCGTTGTCCAGGGTAGGGGAGGGAATGGCCGGCAGGGAGGTAGCTCAGTTGGTAGAGCATGGCGTTTGCAACGCCAGGGTTGTGGGTTCGATTCCCACGGGGGGCCAGTATGAAAATGAATAATGTATGCACTAACTGTAAGTCGCTCTGGAAAAGAGCGTCTGCTAAATGGCGTTAAATGTAAAAAAAATGTAGCTTCTTAATGGGTTTTTTAAAAAAAATAAGAGGGTTAAAATGTAGTAAAGCCTCTAGACTTCTGATCCTTAGTAATGTTTACGCCTAAATATGTAAGTTCTTCTTTCACTGGAATACCATAATATGTAGGGTGTCACACAATCTTTGACAGCCACGAGTTCACATTTATTAAAATGTTAAGACATAGAATCCTTTTCCAAAGCATCTGGTCTATCACATTGATCGATGTGGGAATCTGACTAGCGTCTTCCAGAATCGTCAGCCAGCTGGCTTATAATAATTTCTTTACCAGCTATGGAAATACATTGTATTATTATTTAAAGAATTTGTAAGAAGTTGGTTGATTTATAAAAACAGATACGGTGAGGTAGGACAACCTCGCCTAATTCTTCTCTTTAACTCAAATCTAGGTGAGGTGCCATGTTTCAGTTTGATAGAGCTGTCACCATTCGCATAGAGAGTCTTTATAGCCTTACAGGAAAAAAATCCCCAAAGCCAAATTTCTCAAGGGAGTGGAAGAGGAACTAATGCTCTAATGTGTCAAATGCTTTATAAAAACCAAAAAATAATATGAAGCTATGCTCGGTTGTTAGGTCATTGTTAAGAAGAAAAATTGGACGCCAGTTATGGATGAGCAGCACTTATTTTTTTAGGCTTAGATATCAGTGTTATTAACCCCTGACTCAGTGTAGGAGAGAGAACATTGTTTTTAATACTCTCTAAAAAAAGATTCCAAGTAGGATGGAGCTACTTGTTCAGAAAATAACTAGTAACATTCGGATTGTAATTCCATCAATACCTGGGGATGTATTGTTCTACAGATGTTTGATAGACTCAATCTCTTCAACTGGGATGGGGTCCGTCACACTGTTTTGATTCTGTATCACTGATAGGTGAACATTATTCAGTGAGTCAAAAAACATCTGTGGATTTCTGAGAGTACGTAGAGCTATACAATTTCCTGTAAAAATTGCTATAGTAGTTAGAGATTAATATCTGGTCATCTGTAATAACACACGGATAGTGTTATTTGTAGAGTGACATTTCTCAAGTCTAAAGAAATAGGATGAATTCTGTTCTCCCTCCTCAAGCCATTTTTTCCCTAGATGTAATAAAGGCTCCTTCTGCTTTTAAACTATATATATATATATATATTATCCAGTTTATTTAGTAACTCAAATCAGTTCCATCTTCTCCTCCCCTGAGAGGCTGGCTGGGGACCTCTGAGAAAGAGAAGTTATCTTAAATGATCACCTTTTCCTCCTCAGCTCTTCTGGTTTTAGCAAGATTACTACCATATTTTCTAAAGGTATTTGGCCACCTCTAATTTAAAGAGCTCCCGGTTCTTGCAATAAGATTGTTTTCTTCACAAGCCCTTTTCCCAAATGTGTGAGAGCTGACCTTTAACCTCAAACTGAACTATATCATTATTTAATAAGGCGCTATTTAGCTTCCAGTAGGATGCTCTACCAAGGTTAGTATCAGGGGTAAATATTTTGACATCAATGTAAATGGCCCTATGGTCTGTGAGGGGAGTAGTACAAATATGTGTAGTAACACACTCACTATCAATACATTTCGATATAAGCCAAAAATCTATTTTGGAATGTCTGGAAACCTGTTTTGTTAAACCAAGTGAATGATCTGTCGGCCGGAAACCTCTCTCTCCATATATCAGTAAGATCAAACGTTTCCATAAAAAGTATTAAACCCACATTCTGATTGGTTGGCCTACCTGGGGGGCCATCTATCAGTTGAATGATCTATAGTAAATGCTAAAGTCCCCTCCTATCAATAATAACGATTTGGGAAATGTAGATAACCAATGACGTATATGTTTCTCTACAGAGTCAAGCAACTCATCCTTTTCATGTTTGGTGTTGTACCCGTAGAAGTTTACAGGAATGAGCGTAATGTCATTGTAGCTGATCACAAGACAAATAAAGTGACCAAAAAGGGGTCACAGTCCGAGTGTAGAATATTACCACAAAAATGTATTTTTCATTGTAATGACACCAGCAGAGCGTTCAGAGCCATGGGACAGCCAAATATCGTTGACCCACCCACTGTGACTTCCAGAAGTTGGCATCTGAAG